ACAGTAACAAACCTGGCAACACTTCTGATTTCAGAAAAACATTACAACAATTTGTTTTACATTATATATTTCAATAATATAATATAATAATCATTTATATTTAATTAATGACAAGGTTTACTTTTTAAATAAAACTATATGAGCCCTGTCCCGTTTCAATTAGCACACTTCTCATATTTATAGTGACTGTCACTACAAGAACAAATCATACATAAATCTGATAAATTCTTTTATTTTTTTAACCCTTTCACTTCCACTTTCATTAAAAAAAATACCATTGTAGTAGATTGTATGTTTTCTTTGTTTATTTTAAGTAAATTAAAATATTTTCATAGTATTTTTTATTACTCCAAGACATAACGTCCCTGTTCAGGGACATTACAAAAACAAAAATTTACTATGAAAATAATTTTTTTATAATATTAATCCTTAAAAGTAATGCAAATAAAGTAAATAAACCAAAAAGAAAAAAATTCTACCAAAATTAACAGATTTATACTTTAGGGTTAATTAAGAGTGTCCCTCTGGAGGGACAAATACACTGAAAGGGTTAAATATTTACAAATTTTCATGAGTGTTTCATCACCTTTAACTTTGATAACGGCAATAATTCATTAAAACATTGTATTTACAAGTTCTTGAAAATCTTGTGCAGGGAACCTACTCCATATTTTTAGATTACCCATTTGAATTAATTCTGGCAGTGATCTTGTGGGTGCTGCACGCCTCTGCTTAAAAATTATCACCCCATATACAAAAAAGCATCTTTATTAAATGAACAAGAAACTAAAAAAAAATAAGCATTATTAAAAACTACAAAAAGTGCATCATTTGAAAATCCATATTCAAGCTCCAGATTTGTAAAATTAAAAAAATTCTAAATACACATTTAACTTGTTTGATTATACCTATATTGAATAAAAGGTCTGTTCCAACGATCAGAAACAAACCACTGGGTAGTACACAATTTTGCAGTCTCAATAAACTACTGTGCAGAATCCTGATGTCAGTAACTCATTTCTGAGCATTTTGTTGGAACAAACCTAAAGTAAATCGAAACCACTTAAAAACAAGCACAACATTTATACTCGAGCAAATTTTTAATTCCTATCAAAATTTTTAATTACTGAATATTTTGTTCTAGTTATACTAAAATTTAAAAGTTCTTACTCTTCATTATAATTATATTTTTTATTTTCCCTATATACCTACATACCTACTATCTCTAACATTTTACAAATTTGATGCCTAATTAAAGATTTCATCTAGCATTGCAGAACATAAAACGTTTTTCACATTTGTATAAATCTTCTACATCTGTCATATTAGGATAACAAGATTGTATCTAGACAGCTAGTTATTTTTTGGAGTTGAAGTTTGTATAGCCATTAACTTGTTTGATTTTCATTGTGTTTCTAACTCTAATTTAAGAGAAAATCTTAAGTGATAAAAAATGCAGAAAGAACTAAGCGACCTACATTTTTTAGAATATTTGATAAAGCATAGTAGTAACTGCCAGTTAAAACTGTGTTTCTAGTATTTAGTTTAGGTAACAGAGACAAGGCTTGGAACAGAAAATACATACTTTTGTTAATTCAGAATTTTTAAATGTTGTTTTATATTATACATCTTTCTAGGTATCCTCTATAATTTTTTTTATAATTTTCAATCAAAACTGTTTAAAAACAAAAAGTTTAATAAAAAAATACCCATTATATTTAATACGGTTTATGCTCTAAAACTCACTGTTCTTTTAATGGCAGATTTTTTAACCTCTGAGTAAAGTTACACATAAGTATAATCTATAGCCTAATCAGCAAGTAGTTACTTTCAACTTTATTCAGAGGTATAAACCTGGCCTTTAATCTTAATATAATTGTGGAGGATGGAGACTACATTTGCTAGGGATTAGGGAATAACAAAGATCTAACTACTATAATGACACTTGCTAAAAACTGTATAAGTTCTATGTACATGCAGATAGAACCATGTGAATAACTTTAGTGCTTCGATAACACAACATTGATAATTAACAGATGAACATATTGGTCACAAAAACAAATTAATTAATATATTCTACCAATCTCATTTTTTCCAAAAAGTACAGTTACAACCTTGTTATTCTTTGAGATGTATTTATTACTGATACTTATTAATAAAAATAATAATAATAATTGATATAGGTACTTACTGATCTTTGGAAACATATATACTCCAGTCCAGTGAGACTTCATTATTCTGGTATAATGCTATTTCACAGAAATGTTTGTAATTCCAATCACTATGTATGGATTTGATTATAGTAGGTATAAAACTAAATGTTTATTGAATATCTTTAATCTGGGCAATGAAAACCACAAAACTCACTTTAAAAATAATAAGCTTCAATCTGAGACCATAGTTAAGGTCCACTTCTTCATTTTATAATCTGTAACCCACTGTATTGCTGTTTTTGCCAAAACAAAGGTAATATTTGAACACAAAACAAAATCAGCTGTTTTTTATAAACACCCCCATTTCACTTATTTAGTAGCAAGTCTCTGGCAGCAACTTGTAACTTAATTGGAGCATATTTATTAAATCTTGAACACTTTTTTTGATCCTATAAACGCACACATCAGTGTAGCTTGTTTAAAAAAAAACACTTATAAGCAACCATCAATAACAATAAACTTATTTGTTGACCATTAATTTTTTCATCTGTACTTCTTCTGATAGTTTTGTTATTTTTCATTTCATATAAACTCGAATTTTCACCATCACCAACTATTTTTATGATTGCACTTTTTCTGACAGATAAAAAGATTGCCGCAATTTTCCGCCGTAACGACACTAGCGAACCTAGCGGATTTTTGCCCTAAGTACGACCGGTTTTGGTATGTTTTTTTCAGGGAGTTGAAACACCTTTATAGTGCGCCGTGGTTAGGACCGATTCCACCGTTGTGTTAAACGAAGTTTAAAATGACATTTTTACATTAACAATGTCATTTTAATCTCTGTTTAACACAACGGTGGAATTGGTCCTAACGCGACATCAAACCATAGATTTCATGCATCAAACGCAGCATTTTGTATATTTTTTGTCCAGTGTTGCCAGACGTACAATAATTGTCGTATTTGTACGATAATTTTAAAGAGTGTACGATATGAACGATCTATAATTGATAAATGTACGATAATTATTTCTGAATATTGATAAATTAAAAAAAATATATATTGAACACGCTAAAGTTAACAAAAAAGAACTATTGCATAACGGCGACTGCTAATTAAACTGTATTTCAAATCCATAATAGTGTCCAAACTATCTCAGAGTCATATATTTAGACGATTCGATACTATTTATGGTGGAGTGACATTAAGATTCTTATGTCGATTGGCACTTGCAGTCTAGCGGCTGATTTCGTTTTTTCGGGGAATTACAGAGGATAGATAACCGATTTTTAGCAAGAGACAAAGGGGTTTATTCATGTTTACTGTTTCGTATCGTATAGGTAGGTAGGTACCTATATACTTTAGTTAAACTCCGAACACATAAATTAATAAATAAAGTAGCTCACATTTATTTTGACCAAAATGATGGAGAGGCGAACAAGGGGGGAGGCTAGGATAGTAGAAACATAAAATATAGTACACAACAAAAAAAACTACTGATATATACACATTACACTTTTCTGAGAACTTTCCACGACTGCTTGTGATATTACAACGGGACCATTTTTTGTATTTGGTGTCATCGGCTTCAACTACTAAGGCCATTAGCCTCGTGTTCTGTGTAGGCTTTGTTACTGTTTCCCAGCGCCACTTTAGGAACAGCACTGTTAATTAGAACCCAACAGTGAATGGTCGAGTGGAGAATCCTACCAAGGCATCAGAATTATTTTAAATAATTAAATTAAATAAAATTTTCTTTAATGTTTAACATTTTGTTGAACAATAAAAGCGTTTTTGCTGTACGTTTACTGTACAAGATTAAATGCTTTAAAATGTTATACACATGGGCACCCGCACAAAAAAGTCAGGGAGGAAAATCAAACAAAATTTCAGTTATTGTCAACAACTAAATTGTATATGTACCTATACAAAAATAATAATAGTGAATTAACAAAATGGCTTTTCATTGCTGCTCCCCCTGGCTTTTCATCGAAATTTGGGGTTCGCAAGGTGGCACTGAAGCCCAGATGGCCTATTGTGCTACCATTTGGATGCCCTTCTCCTTCTCATTCATTATTATTCATTCCACGTCCTCGATGGTTAACGCTAGTCGGTCCATCTAAGACGTGACCGGAAAATTCACAGCGTAATTGCCGCGAGAACGATAATTATTTACATTAGACCCTCGGCTAAGCTCTCCGGCTAGTACCTGTACTACCTACTTAGTTTTTCGTGTTTTTTTTTAATGTTTTCCTCGTCCTCCGGAGCAGAATCATTGCCAGCCCTTATGCTTTTACATGAGACCACATGTTTTGATGAAGTGTCTCATATTTCGTGTCCAAATTCTTGTTTTTCAATTTTTTAAAATAATTTTCTGTAAAAAAAGAGGTTCTGTAAATCGTCGGATCAAAGATGCAAGATGTTATTGTCGAAATTGGTCTGGAAAAGTTCATAATGTACACTTATACACTATAATTACAAGAAGAAGAAATGATTTTTGAACCTGTTGCTGAACAAGATAGGTCAAGTGTTATTTTTTTTTGTTTTTTCTTTATATTTATTCAAGAAGAGTATTTTTAAATTACGCCAACCCTTTAAACTCTTAAACTAACCAGCCTCCGATGACGTCACATTTGCAAAGTTAGTCTTGTACGATAAAATCATGAAAAAACGATAATTTCTACAACATTGTGCAGTAATTTGGTTTCGGTCATCTGGCAACTCTGTTTTGACGCACTTTTCCTGTTCGATTTGAAATTTCCCTCCTTATCGACACGTTCAAACAAGTTGAATCATAGTTGGTCTTGAAAATTAAAAATTTTGTCTTTTCGTATCCAAGAATACGTAAACAATAATTTTTGTCTAAAAAAAGCATCGCAAAAAAATAATGTATTTTTGAATTAATTTATTAAGTAATAAGGTGTTAATACTGCGTTAAATAGATAATTATAAGGACAAAAATGAGTATTCCCCAAGGAGTGATGTTCCCAACGGGGTCCCTGTATGTTGGAGATCTTCATCCAGATGTGACAGAGGCAATGTTATACGAAAAGTTCACGACAGCTGGACAAGTTCTCTCTCTACGTGTTTGCCGTGACACAAGAACCAAACAGTCCTTAGGCTATGGATATGTCAACTTCAGCCAAACTCAGGACGCAGAAAGAGCTCTGGATACCATGAATTTTGATCTCCTCAAGGGTAAGCCCATTCGCATCATGTGGTGCCAACGTGATCCGGCTTTAAGAAAATCTGGAGTCGGTAATGTGTTTATCAAAAATCTGGATAAGAACATTGACAATAAAGCGATGTATGATACGTTTTCCGCATTTGGAAATATTCTAAGCTGCAAGGTGGCTTTAGATGAAAACGGTTATTCCAAAGGTTACGGATTCGTACACTTTGAAAATGAAGACGCTGCTAATAAAGCCATAGAAAAGGTAAATGGCATGCTTTTAAATAATAAAAAAGTTTATGTTGGCAAATTTATACCGAGAATTGAACGTGAAAAGGAACTGGGCGAGCGAGCAAAGCAGTTTACAAATATTTATGTCAAGAATTTTGGACCTTACATGTCTGATGATAAATTCTGTGAGATGTTTATCAAATTTGGGGAAATAACTAGCTGTGTAGTAATGAGAACAGTGGATGGATCTTCAAAGGGTTTCGGTTTTGTAGCCTTTGGAGACGCAAAATCCGCGGAAAAAGCAGTCGAGGAATGGAACGGCAAAGAATTGGATGGGAACGTGTTATACGTCGGCAGAGCGCAGAAGAAAACCGAACGCATTAACGAATTAAAGAAAAAATATGAGCAGTTGCGTTTGGAGCGATATAGCCGATTCCAAGGAGTTAACTTATACATTAAGAATCTGGATGATACCTTTGACGATGAAAAATTACGCAAAGAGTTTGCAAATTATGGAACTATAACTTCTGCGAAAGTTATGACTGAGAATAGCAGAAGTAAAGGTTTTGGTTTCGTTTGCTTCACTTCTCCGGAAGAGGCGACCAAGGCGGTCTCGGAGATGAATGGAAGAATGGTAGGCAGTAAACCTCTATACGTAGCTCTAGCACAAAGAAAAGAAGATCGTAGAGCTTTTTTGAACAGCCAATACATGCAGCGAGCTCAAGCTTTGAGACATCAAAACAGCATCAATTTCCCGACGACCACTCCACCTTTTCTCATTCCTGCAGTTGGCCAGGGACCAAGATTTTTCAATCACCTGAATCCTTTAAATCATATCAGACCAGCACCTCGCTGGCCCGCTGCCCCCAACGCAATCCGTCCTAATGGTACCTATAGCCTATCTCTTCTCAATTCTCCTTATAGAGCCACTTCCAGATCTTCTATCAACGTGCGCAACACAATCCACGCCAGACCTATCACCGGACAACAAACTCCGCCTTCCAGACCCAATAGTAAGTTTACCAGCTCCACCAACAATTCCGTACGACCTCTGAACGTGGGAATTGGCAATGGAGGCGACATACCTTTGAACCCTAACGCGCTGGCTGGAGCCGCACCCCAAGAACAAAAGCAAATAATCGGTGAGAAATTATTTCGAGTTGTAGAGAAAATGTATCCTGATATTGCTGGAAAAATCACCGGAATGCTCCTTGAAATCGACAATTCCGAACTTATCCACATGATCGAAAACAAGGATTCGCTAAGGGCTAAAGTGGAAGAAGCCATCGCAGTCCTTCAGGCCCACCAGGCGAACACCAAGAAGGGGATTGTAGTACAAGACTAATTTTTTATGTTTTAGTTTTTATATCTATTTATTGTTGTATGATTAAAAGTGTTTAGTTATTGAATTTCAAAATATTTATTATATTTAAGGTTTTAGGAAACATAATGTTATCCTGGTATAACATTGAAAAATTGCAAAAAATCTTTTTTAGGAAATTATATCTTTTTCAAAATATTGATAAATTTTATTGTATTTAATTGAAAAATAAATAGTTATTAACATCTTGTTTTATTTTCATTTGCTTTTAAATACTTTTGTTTATTAGATATTTAAAATAAAAATGAGATTTTATACTTATAGTACAGGATCCGAAGTAAGGTTGACCTTATCCCATCTGTTTAACGGATGAAGTTTTCGCAAAAAAAACTATTGTACTGGTATGCACTCAAACATCAAACTTTTTGCACCCCCTCCATTTAATAGATATAGCTATTTCCTTACCGTGAAGTTAGCCCAGCGCAAAATTATTTCATAAATATTGCACTAATACGCATATCATTAAAACTTTTTACATCCCCTCCCTTTGGTAGTTACAACAATTTTTTTTATTTTGAAGTTAAACTCTTCCAATGATATTTGCGCAAAAAAAGAACTATTG